GAGGCATGTGATTTGTAGGGTTTTGGCCAATCTCAGACCCCCTATCAATGCCTCATACTCAGCCTCGTTGTTTGTGAGCTTGAAATTGAAGATCAAGGCATGATATACCTTGAACCCTTCCGGAGTTGTGAATACTACACCTCCCCCGTAACCTTTCGGTCTAGAGGCTCCATCTACCGACATGGACCACCAAGGCTCTGTGATAGCCCTAGCCGGTTCTTCTTCCTGGTGACCCGCCATCTCCATAAGAAAATCAGCCACAGCCTGTCCTTTTATCGCTGTCCTCGGGCGATATTCGATGTTGAATTGAGTCAACATCATGGCCCATTTGATCATTCTTCCTGATGAGGTGGAGTCCCTCATGATCGTACCCAATGGTAGGTCAGTCAACACGATAATAGGATGGGCCTGAAAGTAGGAGGTGAATTTCTTCGCCGTTATGAATAGTGCATACCCTGCCTTCTCCGTGGGAGTATACCTACTTTCTGCCCCATTTAAGGCCTTGCTTACATAATAAATGGGTCTCTGGACCCCATCATCCCTCATCAAGACCGAGCTAACAGCCATTTGAGTAACCCCTAAGTAGAGGTAGAGGGTCTCCTTTGTTTCTGGCTTGGACAAGACAATATCCGAAGTCAGGTATGTCTTCAACTCTTCGAATGCCCTGGCGCATTCATCATCCCACTGGAAGGTGTTGGCTTTCTTTAATACTTTAAAGAAAGGCAAAGTCTTCTCTGCCGACCTGGATAAAAATCGGCTTAGGGCCGCCAAGCGCCCTGTCAACCTCTGGACATCTCTTACCGATGTCGGGGGTTGCATCGCAACAATGGCCTTGATCTTCTCAGGATTTGGCTCAATCCCCCTCTTCGTGACCATGAAGCCCAAGAACTTCCCCGTCCTCACAGCAAAAACGCACTTCTTCGTGTTAAGTCTAAGATTATGCCTAGCCATAATCTCAAAGCATTTTTCCAGGTCCTGAGCATGTGTGTCACTTGCCTTGCTCTTCACCAGCATATCATCGACATAGGCCTCCATGGTCCTTCCAAGCAAAGGCCTGAACAATTTGTTGATCATTCTCTGGTAAGTTGCCCCTGAGTTTTTCAACCCAAAGGCCATCACCTTGTAACAGTATGTGCCGTCCGGAGTGAGGAAGGCCGTCTTCTCCTCATCATCCTCCGCCATGAAGATTTGATGATACCCCTTGAAGGCATCCATAAAGCTGAGCAACTCACACCCGGCAGTTTCATCCACCATTTGATCCGGGCTGGGCAGAGGATAAGAGTCCATCGGGCATGCCTTGTTGAGGTCTGTGTAGTCCACGCACATCCTCCAAGTATCACCCTTCGGGGCCAGGACCACATTGGCCAGCCATTCAGGGTAGTTTACTCCCCTGATATGACCTACCTCAAGTAGGTCCTTGACCTATTTCTTCACAAAGTCCCTCCTATCACTTGCCAAAAATCTCTTCTTCTGTCTTATAGGCCTAGACCCCTCAAGAACAGAGAGACGATGGAAAATGACTGACCGGTCAATCCCGGGCATATCAGCAACACTCCAGGCAAATAATGATTTATACCTGGTCAACACCTGGACAATCTCAGTCCTTAGCTCTTCCTGAAGATCAGCTCCAATCTTGACCTTCCTCTCAGGATTGGAGGAATCAATCTGGATCTCCTCCGTGTTTGCATCCGGTTCGATTCTAGCCTTCTCCTCACCCTTGTCTACCTGCTGGGAGACCAATTCAATTTGTTCGAACTAGCGGGTCATCTTCTTCACTGTTTCCAGGTAGCAGGACCGGGTGTTCTTTTGATCACCCCTTTCCTCCCCGATTCCATTAGGAGTGTAAAACTTCATGCATAAGTGTGCCATGGAAATAATAGCCCTAACCTGGTTGATCCCAGGCCTACCCAGAATGGCATTATGCACACACTTGATGTCGACCACAACAAATCTCATTTGTTTGGTCACTGTCCTGTTACCCGACCCCAAGGTAACTGGTAAGGTGATCTGACCTTCCGCTTCTATGCTAGCTCCAGTGAAGCCTGACAATGGAGTTTGCAACGGTCTCAACATGGACCTGTCTAGCTTCAATTTCTTGAAAGCATCCAAGTATAGAACATTGACACTGCTTCCTGTGTCAACCAGGACCCTGGCCACATCAGCTCCATTGATGTCCATTGTAATAACCAAAGGGTCATTATGACTCCCATGTCTGTGAAAGTGATAGGTTCCCTCCTTGTCTGCTTCCCATGTGACTCCAGGGAAACCACCGCCACGTGCAAACTCGTGGCCCAGTTCTTCCGCTGGGAGGCAGTATCCCCGCCTTCCGGGCCACCGACAATCATCTGTATAAATTCTTTATCCGGATTGTTGTTATCCTTCCCGGATTTTCTCCTTCCCTGATCTTTTCCCTGATGACGGGTCCAGGTGTTCGCTTTCGGGTCTTTCTTATTACCCGTCACGTAACCTTCCCCAAGCTCCCCTTTCAAGGCCATCTCCTTGAGCACAACCTTGACATTTCGGCAATCCGCCGTGTTGTGGGAATCGGATTGGTGGTATGTGCACCACTTCTCCGTCCATTATCTCTTGGGTTGCTCTCCCTTCTTATCATCCCTTATTTGGTGGATGGATCCGTCATATGTGACCTTTAGTTTGGACCCTCCTGTCTGCTCATCTTTCTTCGGCTTGTCGGATTTCGACTTTGTGTAACCTTCCTCCAGCTCCCGCTTATTCTTGTTCAGCACTTCTGCCTCGGCATATTCCCATGCCGTATTGTAGGCTTCATGATAAGAGGAGGGCGGCCTCTTACAGAATTCAGTGTAGAGGTCACCTGACCAGAAGGCATTCATCAACAAAGACATGGTCGTCTTATCGTCCATTTCTTCTACCTTGTCAACCTCATCCCTCCAGCGGGTTAAGAATTGAGTCAAGGTCTCTTTCTCCCTCTGCCCTACCGTGTTAAGGTAGGTAAACTTCTTTCTCTTGATGCAGTTGTCCTGGTACTTCTTGCGGAAAACTTCAGCAAGTTTCTCAAAGGATCCAATCTTGCCATGGGGAAGGCCGTTAAACCATTCCACAGGCCTCCCTCTCAAGGATGAGAAGAAGAGCAAGCACTCCTCAGTATCAGTGCACCCGGCCATCTGTGCTGCATTGTGGAAGGTGTCAAGGTGGACGTTTGGATCCTCCTTTCCTGTGAATTTCTCCACGTCCAGCTTAATCTTCCGCCTCAACCTCTGTGCATGTACCCTGGCCGAAAAGGGAGATTTAGCCAAGGTGTGTTTTTTCGCTCCCGCCTTCTCCTCCACCTTTTCTTCCAGGGCACGTAATTTCTTTGCTACGCTCCCTATCTTGTCCAGGTCATCCTCATCGCATGAGAGCCTGGTGTATGCCGACGCCCTCGGCTGGCTTTCTGCTTCCTCCTCGTCTTGGGGAATCGTCTCAGATTCCCTAGAACGACGAGATTGGGCGTGACGACCCCCGCCAAGTCTTTCTATTGCGCTAGTCCGGCCCATCTCAGGACCAAGACGTAGCTTGGCAGACTTGCGGGGTCCATCCTCTTTGCCCCCTAGGCGTTTGAATGCCGAATCTCGAGTCTTGCTGGGTTCGGCTATAGCCTTACCCTTCTTCCTGCGGGCCGCCTCCTGCTCCGCATCATTGATTTCATGGACATTTGAGGGCGCTGCTTCATTCAAAGTCCCCGTCAAATTCACCGGATGTATAGGGACCATCCTAGGGACAAATGTCGACGGGGTCGACACCGGAGGTGGCATAATTGGCGGCGTCATACCAGGATAGGCAAATGGCGTGAAGCCACCTGCCTGTTGCATCATGGCCATCACCTGTTGATAGCCCTGTAGAGCCTGAGCATTTTCCGGGTCAGCAGCAAACTGAGCCCAAGCTGACGGGTATGGTGTGAATGCTCCACCAGGCGTTGTTATCGAGCCTGGGAACATTGTTGTCGTCGGCGTAGGAGTTGGGGTTGACATGATTGGGATCATGCCAATTGATCCTACAGTAGTGATCGGAGCAAAGGTCGTCCCCATGCTCGACATCATCAATGGGATGGCAGGAGTGCTTTCACTCGCAGCCTGGCTTGACACAGCGTTGTAGTTGCTCGAAGACATG